GCTGATGGTGATTTTGTCAATGCTAAAATTATATTATTATTAAAAAAAATTTAAACTGCCCAATAGCCAAAGCCCCTGGGCGGTTTACAATAAAACTTATTAAAAAATACAAGCTGAATCAAAGCATATATGATAAAATCAAATGAAATACAAAATAAAACACCATATAAATTAGGCAGCAGCATAGTGGTCATTTGAAAACTAAGAATGAATATACAATTAAAAGTCCTGGTGTCAGAATGATGCTAATGTGGGCACCATCTTCCTTATGGAAGCTGACTGTACTTCATTTGGTGAGGGGACCTGGAGGAGGGCCTCATTAGATGCATGTACTGGGACATGCATGGGAGAAGTATGTATGGGAGAAGATGCTTCTTCAGGTAACCTGGCCCTAAGCCATTTAGGGCTTTAATGGTTTAAAGCAGCACTTTGAATTGGGTCCAGGCATGGACCGGGAACCAGTGTAAATGACAAAGAACTGGAGTAATATGTTCATATTGGCCAGTCCCAGTAAGCATTCTAGCTGCTCTATTCTGAACTAACTGAAGTTTCCAGGCCATTTTCAAAGGCAGCTCCATGTACAATGCATTGCAAATAATCAACCAGAGCATGAATATCTGTTACAAGGCTATCTCTGCTCATATAATACCCTTCTTGAGGTCTGTTGACTAGAACTATACATGGTATTTATCATAGTGTAAATTAATATAAAGACATTATTATAAATTGATATCAGGATATTATGCTAACTCTGACACTTTATCCATGGCAAGCACCATGTCTCATACTTCACCAATGGGAAGATCATGCCTATGCCTATTTGGTGCCTCAGTTGGCCAGCTGGATGTCTATCTAGTCTATCTTGGCTGATCTCAGACAGCTAAGCAAGGTCAGACCTAGTTATTATTTGGATGGAAGAACATCAGAAAATTTGGGACTCTGGGTTGGACTGGAACATTTAAAAAAACAATCCCAGAAGATTGTAATGGAAAATTGCATCCATATTTTCCAAGAGATCTATGTGGTTGTACTAAGCTCATCTGAGCTTGAAGGAGACTACAATTTTTACCTCTTTTCCCATTTATAGTTCCATGAGTGGATGTGTGTTTTATTCCATGGCTGCTAAATTTGCTCAGTTGTCTTTAATGAAGGCTTTGTCTAAGTTTTTTGAAAATCCAAATATATGCTAACTGTCAGGTCATCTCTATCTACATGTCTCAGAAAAGTGAGACAAGACTTGCCTTTTCAGAATGTCAATGGTTCTTCCTCCAGTTTTTTTCCCACTGCTCTCTTTGACAATTCTCTCTTTAGTAATATTTTCTACCAATTTATGTAGAACTTAGATAAAGCTAACTGGCTTTCTGTGCATGGGAATGATAGAAAAATGATACAGGATACTGTGAGTTGTGTTTTTGGAAATAAACTCAAACATCACATGTAAATGCATCCACTGCATTCTTTATTCAGATGAAGCCGCCCTCCAGAACTTCTGGCCATTTGGGGAACATGGAATTTTGACATAGTACACTGGGTAGCAACTATTAATGATAGCTTGACCTCTGCTTCCCTCAACCTGGTGCCTGCCAGAGGCATTAGACTACAGTTTCCATCATCCCAAATAATCATGCTGGCTGGGTTGAAGGGAGTAATATTCCAGTATTTCTGAAATATATGAAGTAGAAGGCTGAGCTATTCTTGATTCTCTTGGTTTAAGCTCCAGAAAAACACTTGAGCCCTGTTTTTTCAACAGTTCCCACATATCTACATTCATCATAGCTCCGGAGTAAACATGTCAAGATTAAACTATTCTTCTTTTCACTTTGAATTCCATTTCCAACGTATTGCTCTCTGATCACTGTTCTGGTACTACAGTTTAGAGATTTATTGTGTCACTCTGAACTTCAGAGCATCCATCTAGTAAGGTCTGATTTGATTCCAAATTCCAGTGTATGAACTTGGTCTTCATATAGGAGCAAAGGTATTTGAGAATCCTACTGTGCAACCTGATTGAGGGTGAGACTTGTTCATTTTTTAAAAATGTGCAGCACGGTTCCATTTCAGTCTTGATCTGCAGGGAACTTACTTATTTAAATGATGAAAGCAATCTCCCATAAAATCAGAGAAGGAAGCTATTGTATCGATAAGCAAAGCACAGCCAGTGATATAACACAGAGCTTGTCATTTTTATAAAATGAATACAACTTTTATTTCTAGGCTGCACAACAAAGGAGTTTATGTAAAAGTTGGACTGCAGAAAATGAGCCATACCAGGAATCTTCATAAAGAAATCAAACTTCAAGTGGACCAGCATGAAGTTGAGCTTCCAAATATAGAGGGTCTTATTTTCATAAATATTCCCAGGTAAATGCTAGACATCTTTCTTTGGATTTGCTTTTTACCAGCATTTGTCTCTGAGTAAACACTGCTTATAGGCTGCCTTGTTTTAATAGCTAAAATTGCTTTATTAATTGCTTTATTAATAAACAGCTCTTAGGTGTTTTGTATTAAGAGTTTGCTTTACATTTTGAGTTACATTATTCTACTATGGATTTAATAAACCATTGTGAATTGTTAATGCACAAGAGCTTCAAGTTCATGTGCTTCTTATTCTTCCTCTGTTGGGACTGCAAGGAGGAGGTTGTATTTCAGCTAACATTGTTGTGGCTTGTTTCCCATTTTAAATATAGCACATTGGAACAAGCCAACTTTCTGATTTATTTGATATTAGAGAAGATGCTTAACTGCTAATTTAAAATAGGAGCAAATGTGTTGGCCCACACTTGCCATTGTCAAGGTACAGCAAGAGGGTTTGCAGGCTCAGTGATTAGCTAAGTAATATTCCTGTAATGGCAAACTATGATTTATTGCATTGTCTGAGATGCATATATTTTGCCTTACCTGTGTGTGGCATTCACTATAGCCTACCTATAGCATGCACTGATTTAAAGAGAGGCAACTATTTCACAGAGATACAAAACAGTTTTAACATGTGTGAAGCATAGCAGTGTGAACAAATGGACTCTGTTCTAGCTGTTCTACTTATTGTTCATCCTGCCTTTGTCCATTCAGCTTCACTTCTGAGCACATGAAGCTGCCTTGCACAGAATCACACCATTGATCTCTTTAGCTCAGTAGCGTTTGTGCCAACTGCCAGGGGCTTTTCATTGCTTTGTGCGGACTTTTTTTCCCTTTGTCCTGTTACCCAAAATCTTTTCATCAGGCGGTATCAGCGACAAGATTCTCAGATTTCCAAAGTACAAAAGGTGAACCTCTTCTGGGATGGAGAATTCTGACAAATAGTGAAAAATAAGTTACCTATCAAATCTATCTTCTATATATAGAGAAGGAGGGGCTATAAGAAAGGTTCCTTCTGTTCCCATAGTGTATCTGTTATTTATATATACAAGGAAATATTGGGGACAACATAGCACAGTAAATATAAGGTTCACTGAACCAGCATTTGTTCAGCTTAGCTGGATTCATGCATCATACAAAGCCAAAATCAAACAAATCATATTATGATGTAGTACAAACTATGAACCCAGCCAGCATATGGTTATTTGTAAAGGTCTTAAAATGAGCCTTGAGTGTATTAGAGTTGCAGGAAAGATAAATAAGTGAGATGAAACTAATTTTTAAAACGACTAGACAAATGCATTTGTTTTGTAGACAGTTTGTACATTTTCTCATTTTTAAAGCTTTTGTTTTTTCTTAATATTTTTCTTAATACTTCTATAATGAGAAATATATTACCGATCTGACATTCTGACGTGATCTGAATAACATATCTAGTTTATTAATTATACTCACCTCCGAATAAACTCTTGTTTGTTTCTTTATAAATGCTAGTGCGTCGTCAAGGGTTGACTTGGTACATCAGGATAGGGGATGTCTTTTTGTTGCCCACTCTTTAAATATCTGTGGATTAAAGTAGGATTTATGTCTGCTCTTCATTTGTGTAGGAAAGATTTTACCATATGTCTCCTGCTCTCAAGAATATCCCAAAGTGCCCTCTGCAGGTCATTAAGACAAGAGCAGAGACTATGCCTAAAGGTTAACCACCTTTATTTATTCTTAATATCCTCCTTCAAGTTGCTGCAGTGCCCCTGCAGTGATGCCAGTAAATACAGTAGCAATGGGGAAGACTACATGATACACGTGCTGCTTGGTGTACACTTGCTCTTCTGTTTCAATTTTCTGCAGAGTAAATGCCCCAAAGTAAATGACTTATAGAAATAGAAAGGTATTAGAGGTTTTATTATTATTATTGTATGTGTGTGAGTGTGGATTGTTGTTAGCCACCCAGAGTTATGTAGGTAAGATAGGCAACCATATAAATTCACTAAATAAATAAGGTCATTTCATTGCCTTCTTTCTAGTTGGGGATCAGGTGCTGATCTGTGGGGGTCTGACAATGACAGTCGGTTTGAGAAACCAAAAATCGATGATGGCTTATTAGAAGTAGTTGGTGTCACTGGAGTAGTTCACATGGTAAGTTGAAGAGCACTTGAGTTCCTTTTTTTTTTGCATTGGATCCTTTAAAGGGGGTATAATGGATTTACTTTGTTTGACTTGACCTAAAACAATTTCACTCATAATTTCACTTGTAAATTAATTGAAATCTATATTGAAACACAAAGTTATAAGAGTACAGTATAGTGCTAATTGTGATAGTATTCAAGTGTGACTGTTTAAGGGGAAATGTATTTGGAGATTGTAACTGGGAGAAATTCTACGAATGATACATTTATAAAAACTGTAAAAAAATTATGTTGGTTGGTATTTATGAGTTTTACCCAGTGATTGATCTCAAAGGATATTTGATTTGTTTTTGAAAAGTACTGTTCTGATTCTTTTTTCTCAATAGGGTCAAGTTCAAGGTGGCCTCCGTTCTGGCATCCGGATAGCCCAAGGCTCCTACTTCCGTGTAACACTTCAGAAGCCAATTCCTGTACAAGTAGATGGTGAGCCCTGGATTCAGCCACCAGGTCAGATAATTATTTCTGCAGCAGGACCAAAGGTAATCATATATGTTTGGTGTCAGACATTTTATCATTATTATAGAAAAGGAGGAAAAGCTATAACAATATTCAGGTCTTGTACTTAATAGACTATAAATAGTCAGATGGATCTGGTTGAAATATAATGTATCTTAGCTGTTAAAAATACCGACAGCATTTTGCCTGTAGCCTTTTCCGTTCAACCCTCTTAACCTGCCATGATTAGAGGCTTTCTGGGTTAATTAACTAGAATTACATCTCACTCAGGAAAGTATATTACCAAGACAGAATGAACCAGCATTTCAAATGAATGTCCTATCATTCAGGGTTTTTTGGGGACAGAATGGAAAATAAATTAATCAACCCAGAAAGTCATGGTATGTTGGAAAAGGCATAGTGGTGACCTGCTATATATGATAGTTGATCCATTACTTAAGGCCACATTATCACTGAAATGGTAAATTGGTTGTCCCATTTCAGTTTGCAGGCTGGAGTACACATAGCTAAATGTTCCTCATGTAAAAATATAGCAGTACATGGAAAACTAAAATGTCAGTTCCAACCTAACCTTCTCCCTTTCTCCCCAATATAGAGTTATCTTTGATTATAACATTTTTTTAATACATTGTAAGCTCCTTCTAACAACTTAAAGTTAACTATAATAGCTCCAAAAGATATTTGCTATCATCACAGAGAGTGGTAAGAAGAGGGAAAACCTTTGACAATCTGCTGTGCATACAGAAATACATGATGCACACGCAGAGATTCCTTTGATTCTCTGTACTGATCCTAGAACAGAAAGCTAGTTTTCTAGCTAGGATCAGTATAGTATATTTAGACCATGTCCAGTAACATGATGATTGCTTCCCATGATAATGTCTAGCATATCCACTGCTGTTTTTGGCTTATTTAGGAATATTTAAGAGTTCTGATGTCTTTGTGTTGCATCAAATGCCCTTTTGGAAAGACCCCTGACTTCAGGAGGCTTCAGGATCTAGAGAAGTCCTAAAACTCCTAATCTTCATGCAATTGTGAATCTTACAATGTACAGAGCTGCTTAATACAGTGGTACCTCGGGTCACGAACTTAATTCGTTCCGCGACTCTGGTCACGACCCGAATTGGTCGCGACCCGAATCAAATTTTCCCATAAGGCTCAGTGTAAATACAGTTAATCCATTCTAACACCTCTGAATTTGGTTGCCAACCGATTTTGGTCGCGTCCCGAATCAGATTTTCCCATAAGGTTCAATGTAATTACAGTTAATCCGTTCTGAACCATATGTATTTTTTT